ATATCTCTATAAGAAATATAGCTAAGCCTAGTGTAATGTTAACGGTCAATTATTTAATTTACTTAAAACTAAATTTACTTTTCTTGTTTTCAAAATTATTACAAATGCAAAAAATTATTAACTTTAAAAAGATTTTTTAAAAGCTAAGTTAGTTTTAGTAGGATGCAATTCTTGTTGCTCATGATACCAGTGATTTGCGGGGAGGCACTAAAAATGGTAGAGGGGGACCTGAAAAGGGGTCTGGAAATTATATACAAAACAAAATTTAGTATCTCATACTAAAATTTTACGAAATTTGTAACGTTTAGTTTCTAGACTGATTTATGAAATAATACAATATTCTCTAAGCAAACACTGAAGAGAAAACAAAATACAGTCTTTAGGTGTTAAGTGATGATGTAGCCTAGAGTCTTTTCGTATTTGATCCTTACTCAAAGAAACTTTTTGCCATTCATTTAAAAAGAAATAATTCACTAGAAACTTCGAATCTTTGAAAGTAGGTAAAAAAAATAACCTCCCATGGTATCCCCAGTGCCTTTAACAATGTCCAATGTTGAATAAAGGGCAAAAGTAAATATTTGGTTTCTTCCCAAACTGGTTGTTCTACTTAAGCATCCTCTTGGATCCCAAGACAATGCAAAAATAAACCCCATAAGATGTAGCCAGTCCAGAGAAAACCTCCAGAGAAATGTACAACAGCTTTCATTCCAGGAGAAAAGAAAAGAAAGATTATTTTCTTGAACAGAGATATGATACAACCCTATGGAGTGCCGTATCAGGCTCAATTCCAGAAGGTGATGCACCAGGGCTCTGGGGAGGGAATCAATGGAGTAAAGTCAGGAATCATGATCCTTCACCCTAGAGGCAAATGGAGCATAGAGGGTAAGTACACTCCTTGAAGATCCTTCAGAACAAAAGAAAGGGAGAGGCAGGAAATCAGGAAGTGCCCATGCCAGGTCTCACTGAGAATGTAGGGATTTTCATTCTAGCCAGATATTAAAGAATACAGTTCAGCTGTATTTCTGCATAGAAAAAAAAAAGTGAATACAGTAAATCCTTTCTTAATATTCTATCAGCTAGAAATCTCCATTCCTTGGCCCTTCTGAATCTCTATGTAATGAAAACTGATAATTAGGTTTTTAAGTTACCCTTTGTACCATCAAGTAAAGCTTAAATTATATTTGATATAGTTTTTACTGTTAAATATATATTTTTAAAAGAGGCTACCCTCATATAACATCCATTTATTCAACAGCTATTTAAGTCCACTCTAGTGCATATATCAGTTCATCCCACAGGTGGATCAGAGGCTCAATGAGAGCTACAAGGCTCTTGGTCACAGGAGCTCATGCATGGCAGAATAAGGCAACATAAAAATTTTAACAACCAGGGCAATACAATTTCTAATTCCTATGATCCATGTAAAGGATAGAAATTTTTATGGAAAAGATTTTTTTCAGAGGATCTGGACATCTAAAGTGGCAAAGAATTTGCTAGATGGAGAGACAGAAAAGTAAATTCTCAGTAAGTATCAAGAAATGACTAAAAAAGAATGAGATGGTATAAGAGAAAGGAAACGGAGGATTATTAGTGGAAAAAATCATCAGAATAAGCTTAGTAAAAGAGAAAAATAGCCAAGGGATAACTATAAAAATCTATTTATATTTCTTATGAAATATAGTTTATTTTAGTGTATAATTTAAAAACTATAGAGATAGGCTCAATAAAAAAATCATGACTGAATACATATTTGGAATGCCAAGCTTTGGCTTTTTCACCCTATGCCCCAATTATGCTCATACCATGCACAGTTACAAATCAAGTCATTCACCCAATAGTGAAACCAAAGTATTAAACTTCAACTCTAATTTGGACTCTGTTGATTTGTATATAGTGGTATATTCAATCTTTCTTTCATTCATCAAAGAGTGAGCATGTTTTATATGCCATGCATTTTACTAGGGTCATGATGAACTAAATCAGACATGATTCTTCAATGTGAAATCCCAACGATGGAAAGAGGTAGTGAGATATGACCAAGCCTGGAGGACAGGGCAGGAGGACAGGGCAGGATCTCTGAGGAAGTGGTATTTAAGATTAGACTTTGAATACAGGATTTCAAACTAGGTTAAGGGAACATGGAAGTGAAGACAGGATGAAGGACAGGAACTTCCTATCCAAGGAGAAGAGCATGTGCAAAAATGCCACCAGGAGACGGGTGAGGATACACATATGGGGAGGCTCTATGTAAGGCCCTAAGACAGAGCCCAAGCCCAGAGGAGAGAGTGGCTCTATACAGGGCTGAAACAGAGACAGATCTCAGGTCACTCAAAATCTTGGGAAGAATTTGATGAGGTGGGGATGACTGCAGAGGATATTAGGGGGAAATGTTCAGAGATGTATTTTGAGATCATTTTGTTTGCAGAATAGAGAATAGCCTGGAAAATAAAAGCAAGAGTAAATGCAGGAAAATCACTTAGAAGCTTTTTTGATTTGTTTAGACTAAAGATATAGTAATTGGGGCTAGGGTAGTACCAACAGAAATGGAGAGAAGTCAACTGATATAAAAAATATTTAGAAAGTTAAAAACCAAGACTTGATGGTTTGGATGCTGGGGGAAAAGGGAGAAGTATATTAAGGATGATTCAGATTTTTTGATAGTATAACCAAAATATTATAGGCATCATTCACAAAGATAACAAATAGAGGACAAAGAGCAAGGATTTAGGACCAAGGATGGAGCAATGGAAAGGGCATGTGGAGAGAAATGAGCTGCCTAGGAAGCTGAGGAAAAGTGGGAAGAAAATGAGAATGTAGGGAAGGGTGTATTTGTCAAAGACAACAAAGATGTCCATCTAATATGCTGATGACTGAAATGTTTCCACTGCATTTAACAAGACAGAGATCACATGTCACCAGCTAGAGCTACTTTGATGGTGTGGGGCTGTGGGTGGGGACTAGAGTGACATAGATGGAGGAGTGAATAGGGGAGGTGGGTGTGAGGAAATGATGGTGGTGAATACAGACAACTTTCTTGACATTGAAGGAACTAAGAAGGATAAAAGTTGTTATTTATAAGAGGATTTGAGAAAAATAGAGATTTACTGTTTATTTTGTTTTGCTTTATATGGTTTGGTTTGTTGGGATTTGTTTGTTTTTTGGAGAGACTAGAACATACTTAAGAATAAATGGGAACTTTTAAGCAGCTGAGGGAAACAGCTTGAGAGTGCTAGGTTCCTGAGAAAGCCAAAGAGTTGAGATCAAGTAAAGAATGAGAATAGGATGGGTACTGGATGTCAATGGATTTGAGGTATGAGGAAGAGAGGGCTGCCATTTTTATGTGCCTGTGTTTGAAACAGTAAGTGAGGTCACTTGCTCGGAGTAGATAACTCACTGAAATAACCAGTAATAAAAGGGTGAGGGGATGGAGATTTAAAGAGAGTAGACAAGATCTATAATTGTCATTGGGAGAAATAGGAGATTTATTTATTTTTTTTAAAGATTTTATTTATTTTGACAGAGAGAGAGAGAGAGCGATCATAAGCAGGGGGAGGGGCAGAAGCAGAGGGAGAAACAGGCTCCCCACTGAGCAAGGAGCCCAGGACCCTGGGATCATGACCTGAGCCGAAGGCAGACACTTAACGAACTGAGGCACCCAGGTGTCCTGAAATGGGAAATTTAATTGACCAAAGAAATACAGTAAGGTTATGGGAGTATTGAGAGTCCAGTGGAGATAGGTGGGTTTGTATTTACAGTGGAATCAACCTGCCCTGTTGTGAGACTTCAACAGCACTTGACCACTGGTGGATAGGCATGAATAATGCAGATAACTGGGGTCAGAGAGGAAACAGAACAGAAAAGCAATGGACAAGAAAAAAAAAAAGATATGTTTTTGAAATGATAGGACTCTGGGCTAGATTGGAGGAAAGTAAAAAAAGGAGAGATCTGAATGCCTGGGAGACAGGATAGGGGTTAATGAGGGTGAAGGAGCAGTTGTAAGCAATTGCATCAACAAGCTTGGTAGACAGACGGTTGCTGTTCGAGGTTCAAATGCTTGAATTAGTGATTTGAGTGGTAGAATGGATTGGTGAGGATAAGGTCCAGAGGGTGTGTGTGGGAATGGAAGACTGAGATAAAGTAAAGAACAGGTTATTGAAGATGACTAGCAGGTCAAGGAACTGAGGTGAGAAGGTTCTGACAGGTCATTCCCATAAATACTGAAGTCCCTGGGAGAGTGGCAGCCCTGAAGGGGAAAGGTAGCCAAAGATCCAGGTACCAATAGCTTAGTTGAATGATGAGGAGTGGTCAAAAGTTCTGGAAATGACTACAGCAGAGACCATCTACGGATGATGGCACAGTGAAGCAGCCTCAGAGAGCAAGTTTTTTTGTTTTAATGAATGGATTTAGCAATAATAATTTCAAAGCAGCAGTAAGGAGAAAGTACATACTAACCCTATCTCCAAGTCCTGTTTTTCAGAATAACAGTTAAACCAATGTTATTCTTCTTCTCTAATAACCAAATTATACTTATGGTCAAAAATTTTATACAGTTGATTTAAAGCATAGAATATCAAAATTATTTTAATTATACCATTTCTGTTATGGGGAAAGAATTAACTGTTCCTTATGATTCTCAATGAAGGGACTCACCGAGGGCCGGGTTCAGTAAATTTTTTCTGTAGAGGGTCGTATAGGAAATATCTTAGGCTATGAGGGCCAAATAGTCTGTCAAAACTACTTTTATCTGCTATTGTTACATGAAAGCAACCATAGATGATGCATAAATGAAGATGAACCCAATCTGCCCCACACCCATATCTATTGTTCAATTTATTCAACACTCAAGAGAAGTGGCAGTGAGAAAGTGAAAAATGAGAAAAAGAGGTGGTACTGGAATTTAAAACCCAACAATTATTTCTATCAGATTTAAAAATAAAGGCAATCGGACAAAAGCTCACGATTTTCCTTTCCCCTAAAACAAACTGAAAGCAAGCACTTACCTGAACATACAGTTCTCTGAGTTCATACTGAAATTTCTTGGGATCTGTGGTAATTGTCACTGGGCCAATTTCTATGAAGATAAAAATGACACAGATGAATAAATTGTAATCAACAGCATTAAAGACTTTATTGTGTTTGCAAATGTCTTTTCATTCGGCACTACATGGTTATTTATTAATAAGAAATATATAGCCAACAAAACAACAGTTTCTCAGTTTATAGCTACCAAAGAATAACTTAAAATTTGCTGGAAATCATGCTTATGCAGAGTGAATGTTTAGTCTTGGTAAATGCAAAGGGGCAGTCAAAAATGTCATAAGACAGAGTCAGGAGACCCCAGGTTCGGTCCCTTTTTACTCTCACTGGTCAGTGAATATTTATTGAATACCTACTTTGTTGCTGGACTCTAAATTAATCACTTACCCAGCCTATAATTCTGTTTTCTCAACTATACATTGTAAATTTGTTTGCAACTTTTCTGTAAGTCCAAATTAGTTGAAAAAAAAAATTAACATTAAACAACATAAAAACAAATGAATGTCAATGCCACAGTGTTTTTAAGAACTTGCAGAAGCACTGAAATGAGGACATTAAAAGTTCAGGAAATAGTCCCTATCACTTCCTTCCCCCAGCTGGGGTTGCTGTCCATCACTATCACCATTCTCCTTAGCTGACTTTGACCACCAGAATTACCTGACTATCCTGATGTACTGCACAAACCACCACTCCAAATGGGAACAAGTGGGAACACTGCATTCCTCGGAAAATCAGGACCTTAATAAGTCAGGTGAAGAGAAAGAGCCCAGATACCAGGGTGGGTAAAGTTGGCAATATTATTTTTATAGGATACAGTATGTCTATGGTAAACATTTTAATCCACAAAGATCATTTTCTTAAAAAAAAAAAAAAACATCAACCTTTAAAATAGACAAGTGGAAAGTGGCCTTTACAGGAATCAATTACTTCCTTAAGAAACATTCACATATTTAAGGAATATAGTATTAAAATTCATCAGAGTATCATGTGCATAGACATATCATCTTAAATTCCCAGGGTGGATGAAAAGTTTTCTACTTTATCTAATGAAGATACAGGCTGCATTCAAAATGATAATATGCAACTACAATACAAAATTATAAAAATATTTAACATTGAGTTTTTATAAGACATTTTCTAGCTTCAAAGGCACACTGCTAGACAAAAGACTTTATGACTTCAAAGGATAATAATTAATTAGTCAGGCCTTCTATAACGTGCTAAATATAATACAAAAACAGACTGTAGGATTTTAGAAATAAATGAGGTAAATTGGAAAGGAAGCACAATTTGTCTGCCACAACCCATGTAATTTTTCTTAAAAATCACATGAAAACTATGTCTGCATCCTTCATCACAGATTAGACACCTTGCAGTATGCAAAAGGAATGGAGAGGCAATTGGAAGAACTGTGTGAAAATGCAAACATCTGCATTCCATACCAAGCAGAACAGTTATTAGTTATGTGAAAGTCTTGTCCCAAGTATATGGAAAATCAGAGAAGCCTACTCCCTCAAGACTAAACAAAGGCATACTTTGCAAAGCAATGCAAAATAGCAAAGAATATGCCAGACAGTTACACCCTGACATATAAATTGTCAGCAGCATTGTCAAGCCAAACTTCTATGTTCCTACATGGCATAATACTGAAATAACTCTATAATTCAAAGCTCAAGAATTAGAAAGAAATACAAAGAATACTAGAGGAAAGCAATTACATAAGACTAAAAAGGACACACATAGAAGAATATTCCCTATAATAAGAATTTTAAAAATAGCCCTGGATATATGCCTGTTCTTCAAGAGTGGAGATCAAGGACTGCTATTAAAATAAAAGAACCGATTAGACTTCATTTATATCCATAGACTCAAATACCCATTTGTTTTCAACAAAGATAGGAAATCCCTCCTGAAGCTCATTAATAAGCATTTTTGTAAACTACATTGGACAGCTGAGATAAATCTTTTTATCAGTTATGAGAAATACTCAGGAGAGGTGAGGGCTTGCTGAACTGCCATATCCCTCCAGCTGTAAGCATCCTTTCCAATTCTTTTGAATTGAATGATATGACTATTTGGCAAAATCAGCCCTCCTCCCTTTCAGGACTTGCTTCCATTCCAGTCTTTCTCTTCACTTAATACAGCCCTGTGCCAGTTGTTTTATGAGCAATTTCCATTTCTCTTCCTTTTTGCTCATGTTGGTTTCATCCCCTGCCAAGCCTTTGATGACATTCAGCAGGTACAACTTTGTCCTCTCTTCCTGCCTGAACATGGTCCTCTATTGCTTACAGAATTAAATGGGAACTCTCCAAGGCATTCCAAGTCTCTCTTCCATTAATCCAGTTTTCTAACTTTGTCAACATCCCTTAGCATGAGGCTACTGTGCTTCCTCACTACCCCCATGGCCATCCCCACTGTCTTTCATTTGCCCATATGCTGCTCATCCTAAAAAGCCTGACTTAAGTCCTACTCCTTGGATGTTTTGACTTTTCTCCAATTTGCTTTAATGTTGTTTTTATTGATAATATTTGTACAATAAAGACATGGGAAAAATGAAGATGCACAGCATTCAATAGAATGCAGAGATCATCTCCACCTTATTCAGTTAATTCTATCTTCTTTCTTTTTTTTTTTTTTTAAGATTTTATTTATTTATTTGACAGAGAGAGGCACAGCGAGAGAGGGAACACAAGCAGGGGGAGTGGGAGAGGCAGAAGCAGGCTTCCCGCCGAGCAGGGAGCCCGATGTGGGGCTCGATCCCAGGACCCTGAGATCATGACCTGAGCCGAAGGCAGACGCTTAACGACTGAGCAACCCAGGCACCCAATTCTATCTTATTTCTTACAAAGAAAACCCAACAAAAAAAAATCAATCAATTAACCATCAATCTCCAAATAGAAGCACTGAGCTAGAAGGACATTAAAGACTATTTGGTTCAATTTCTTTATCCACGGACAAGAAAACTTGAGGTCCAGTGAAGATGAAATTGAAAACTTTGATGGTGGAAAAAAAAAAGTTAAGCTATTTGAAAATATTTTCTACACAGAGCAACATGGGCAGTCGCTAATACTTCTTCTTTTCCAAGATCTCCAGTCTGTTGATGATTATATTACTACTGACTTTCTCCTCCTTTCCTCTGGACCACAGGCAAGATAGGCTATGTTCAAATGCCTAATCTGATGCACACAATATCCAGAATTCTTTATTGTTGCATGCCTGGATATTATCTTTACTAGAACAAGGAACGATAAAGAAAAAAAGAATAAAGGTTAAAGGTTAAACCCAGGCCTTTGGATCCTCTATTACTTGCTCTTTTCATTACATCATGGAGCCTCCATGCTATAGCTAAACACCATGTGACATGATCAATATGACACTGATTAGCCAACCAAGAAAGTTTTCAGTTTTCCCTATTAACCAAATGTTTTGTTCATTACTTCAACCAAGTTATTAATGCATAATCAATAGGTATCATTTTCCACATATAGCTTAACTTAAAAAAAAAAAAAGAAGAAACAAGGTGTCTAGGTGGCTCAGTTAGTTGAGCGTTGGACTCTTGGTTTCAGCTCAGGACATGATCTCAGGGTCCTGAGATCCAGACCCGCATCGGGCTCCATGCTCAGCATGGAGTCTGCTTGCGATTTTCTCTCCCTCTCCCTCTGCCCCTCCCCCTGCTTGCACATGCACTCCTTCTCTCAATAAATAAATAAATAAAATATTAAGAAAAAAGAAACATTAGGGCAACATGTATTGTTACAAATACAAGAAATATGTCATGCTCCAGAAGACCACTTTTGATTTAAAAAAAAAAAAGTGTCCAAAACTCCAAGGCAGTCTCCTCTTTTCATTTTGTTATTTCTCATTTCCTAGGGACTTATCAGATGGGTTGGATTTATTTCCAGCATCTCAGCCATTGTTCTCTTAATCTCAGTTGTTGGGTTGTATTTGAGAAAATAATGGAAAGAAGTTCACAATGTAATATTTTCTTTCACTGCTTCACTTGGCAAGATCGATATCCAGTTTCTCACTTCCTTTTTCCTTTCCATGAACAGATTTCTGCTCCTTACAGTTTTTCTTTCCTCAAAGTGCTTCTTGATAATATGAGGAATAGAAAGTGTTCTTGCTGGGATTTAAACACCATCTGTGCATGATTTGATAATGGTGTTCACAATTTCTTTGGTTTTAAAAAATATATAGTTCTTGGCTTTATATTTATAGTTACACGTAAATACGTGGAAACTTAAAATGAGAACCCCTTGCTGCATTATAAACTAAACAATATTTGCTGAGCATTATAGAAGAATCAAACATATATATAAATCACAGGACTTGTCACAATGGAAATTGTTGATAGCAAGCTATGAAAAATTAGAAAGTCTATATAGTGCCTGAAAAGAGCCAAGTAATACAGAAAGGGATAGCCAACTTTCTCAGTGTCCAGAGAGAATAAAGACCCCTGAACTCTAGGGAAACACACAGGGAAGGCATCAAGGAGGAGATAAGGAAGGAGGTGGGACTTGAAAAGAGCACCAGATTAACAGAGCCTGGCATTAGAGCAGAGAAATTCCAGGCATTAGGACATGGGCTGCTCAAAATCCCCTCCGTGAACTGAATCTCAACATGTTCCACACTCTAAAAATTCTACTCTTGATCAATTAAACACAAATCAATTATGATGTCTTCTATGTGCAAAGTTGCTAGCAAACAGACATATTCAAAGCATTAAAGTTGTCTAAATGAAAACTAATAAATTTTGTTTCCTGCTTTGGGATGCTACAGAAAAGCAGATTATTAACTATGTTTACTTTTACTGTTTTCACTTTAATCCACAATACACTCTTTCCAGATTTCCCTATCCTCATTCAATTATAATGTTGCTGTCCAGCACCATTTTTAAATGATCTGCATCTAATCCATGAAAACAGAACTGTTTACTGACTTTGAACTACGCTAATGCCAAGTGTATTTCAGGACTCATTTAACTGAGTACATTCCTACTCACACGAGAATAGGTAATTTTCAAGACCACTTAAA